CAATTAATCCGCCTAAAAGATAGGTCTATCTACCAATATCGTGCAGTGGAACTGTAGAGGACTCCGGACAAATTTTAATGAAATACAGCTATTACTCCAGGATTTAACGCCATCAGCGTTCTGTCTGCAAGAGACATATCTGAAACAGACAGATAATTTTAACTTACGTCAGTTTGAAGCCTATAATTATTTTTCCCCTCCAGGTGATAGAGCCACTGGAGGTTCTACTATCCTTATTCGACAGGATGTAATTCACAGCCCTGTTACTCTTAACACTAATCTCCAAGCTGTTGCAGTGCGACTTACTCTGGGTGTAGCATTTACATTGTGCTCTCTGTATATCCCACCTTCATCAACACTTCAGCTGACTGATCTTCAATCACTCTATGATCAACTCCCAAAGCCATGTGTTATCATGGGTGACCTAAACGGTCACAAACCACTCTGGGGCAGTACTACCACTAATACTAAAGGTAAAATAATTGAAGACTTCATTTCCAATAATGACCTGTGCATATTTAATGATGATTCAAGCACCTATCTTCATCCTGCAACTGGCACTTATTCTTCTTTGGATTTATCTCTTGCAGATTCACACCTCCTGAATGAATTTGATTGGTCTGTTCATAATGACCTTTGTGGAAGTGACCACTTCCCAACTATACTTTCAGAAATAACTCCTTCTGATTCTCCATCGTATACAAGATGGAACTTTTCGAAGGCGAACTGGTCTTTATATCAAACTTTATGTCAATCTAAATTGCGACCTGAATGTTTCAGTGATACAACTGATCCCATTCAAACCTTTTCTGATGTTTTAAATGAAATAGCTGATGAGTGTATACCCAAGTCCTCTACGACTCCACATGTACGAAAACCATGGTTTAATACAGACTGTAGACAAGCCAGAAAAGCGAGGAAAAAGGCGGAGCGTTATTTCCGCCATCATCCAACTGTCCATAATTTAAATAAATTTAAAATACTCAATGCAAAGGCACGTCGTACCTTTAAACAAAACAAACGACAATCTTGGAGAAATTATGTCTCCAAAATTAATTTGCGCACGCCAATGTCTAAGGTTTGGAACATGGTTCAGCGAATAAAAGGCAAAGGTTCAAAATCAGCTGTACACCATCTTAAAGATGGTGATAACTTGATAACTGATAAATCTGACATTGCAAATAAAATTGGCGAAACCCTTGCCAAAAATTCATCATCGACAAATTATGTCCCTGAGTTTCAGAGATATCAGAAACAAAAGGAAAAGACAAAACTTAATTCCAAATCAAATAACGGTGAAGATTATAACGAAGTGTTTTCATTACATGAGCTACATACTGCTCTTGAGCAAGCTCATGACACTGCAGCGGGTGATGATAATATACATTACCAGCTACTGAAACACTTACCGGAACCATGTCTGATGACACTTTTAGATATATTTGACCAAATATGGACGTCTGGAGAATTTCCTCGTTCGTGGCGTAATGCCATTGTAGTTCCAATACCAAAACCTGGCAAGGATCATACAGATCCGTCTAATTACAGACCAATATCTTTAACGAGCTGTGTCTGTAAAACCATGGAGCGTATGGTGAATAACAGATTAACTTGGTATCTTGAAACCAATCACCTTATAACAGATATCCAATGTGGTTTCAGGAAAAATCGTAGTACCATCGATCATTTGGTACGCTTAGAATCCTTCGTTAAGAATGCTATAGTAAATAAACAACATGCTGTATCAATTTTCTTTGATCTTGAGAAAGCTTATGATACGACCTGGAAGCATGGCATTTTGAAGGATTTACATGATTTCGGTTTGAGAGGCCGTTTGCCTCTCTTTATTTCACAGTTTTTAAAAGACAGACAATTTCAAGTCCGAGTGGGTTCAACCCTGTCTGATCATTATAATCAGGATCAGGGTGTCCCTCAAGGCAATATTTTGTCTGTCACATTGTTTAGTATCAAAATAAACAGTTTATTCAAGGTTTTAAACGATTCAATTGATGGATCACTTTTTTGTGGATGATTTTAATATTTCTTGTCGTGGTAAAAATATGCATACTATTGAACGGCAATTGCAGTTGTGTTTAAATAAAATAAATAAATGGTGTCTTGAAAACGGCTTTAAATTTTCCAAGTCCAAAACTAATTGTCTACACTTTTGTAGAAAATATAAGCCGCATAAAGATCCAGAACTATCTTTAAATGGCACTCCCATCAAAGTTGTTAAGGAGGCCAAATTCTTGGGTCTAATCTTCGACTCCCATTTAACCTTTTTTACCGCATATTAAATCACTTAAAGCTAAATGCCTGAAGGCACTTGATTTGTTGAAAGTTGTTTCCAACTCAAAGTGGGGAGGGGATCAAGCTACTCTGCTCCACCTATATCGATCATTGGTCCGCTCGAAGCTTGATTACGGCTCCATCGTATATGGTGGAGCCTGCAAAAGCAACTTAAAACTTCTTGATTCTGTCCACCACCAAGGACTAAGACTTTGTCTTGGGTCCTTTAGAACCTCTCCTATTGATAGTCTATATGTTGAAGCAGATGAGCCTTCTCTTACACAACGTCGGATAAAATTATCCTTACAATACATTACTAAACTATATTCTAGCGAGTCTAACCCTGCATTTAACTGTGTCTTTCATCCCGTCTATGAGGATTTATACAATAAAAAACCTTCTCTTGTTCCGCCTCTTGGGCACAGAATTAAGCCTTTCATTTCTGCAGCCGGCATTGAGCTGGAAAATATAGCTCCTTCCCGTCTTCTTTCTTCTCCTCCTTGGCAACTGGTGAGGCCTGAAGTTGACCTAACTCTGACAAAGTTTAAGAAATCTCAAACTAATGAATTACAATATGAACAAGAATATAATCAATTAAAAAATAAATATAATACATACAAATCCTTATTTACTGATGGGTCCAAGGATGATGGCGCGGTGGCATGTGCAACTGTCATTGGATCCAGAACAATCTCCTCTCGTTTACCAGATAACAGCTCTATTTTTACAGCAGAAGCAAACGCCATATTAACAGCCTTAAAATATATTAAAAAACACACTAAATATCAACAATATATCATATTTTCTGACTCTCTTTCTTGCCTTCAGGCTATTAAAAATATTTCTTGTAAACATCCACTTTTATTAGAAATTATTGAATTATATAATGAGCTTGCTACTGGCCAATGCGACATCGTCTTTTGTTGGTTACCCAGCCACGTTGGCATTTCTGGGAATACAATGGCCGATCTTGCTGCTAAGGCAGCACTCAACAAATCTGTGACACCACTTCTTATTCCTTACTCTGATTACAAGGCTGCTATAAGATCTTATATCCGTGATCTGATGCAAAAGAAGTGGGACATCCAAGTAGGTATTAATAAATTACATGCAATAAAACCCTACATTGGTTACACCTACTTGGGTTGTCAGTCCAGATTTGAGGAGGTCATTAGGCGACGATGTCGCATTGGCCATACAAGATATACTCATGAATATTTATTAAAAGGCGAAGATCCTCCGTTTTGTATCCCTTGTGATGAAAGGATCACAGTCAAGCATGTCTTGCTTGACTGCATTGAATATTCCATCACAAGGGATATCTATTTCAAATCCAAAACTCTGAATGATCTTTTTAATAATGTCAGTTCTCATTTAGTTATTGCATTTTAAAAAAAAATAGATTTGTTGACTGATTTGTAAATAGTTAAATATTTTATTGTTGGTAGTTTATATTAGTAACTGAGATTGTTAGTGGCTGTACCCTCAAAGGGGGTTGACGTAGCGTAAAATTATTGTCCTCCTGAGGGGGTACGTAAGTCCCCAAACTTTCAAAGTCAATTTAAGTGTACCAGGTTTTTAATCGTAGAATATGTGTGCTTTTAATTTATGGCTAGATTTCTCTTCTGTCGCCAATGGCTGAAGGGATGGTGTTAATCCAACTAGGGTCCATGCAGGTAGCAAAAGTAATGTAAGTCCCCATGGTTCCTAGTATGGTGATCTACCTTCAGTTGTTGGCGATCTATAGCCCATTTTTACATTGTATTGTCTTGGAATATTTTAGCTTTGTTCGCTAGTTTTATATTGATATCTGTGATATTCTAGTTGTTTTACTGCCCTTCGTCGGCAGGTTTTTTATAATATACATATATTTCATTCTAATATCGAATGTTCTCGTCACGATATGGCTGAAATATTGCCGATGTGACGTTAAATATTAACTCACTCACTCACTCACTTTGTTAATACAGTCTTTTGAGAAGTGCTGAATAAACAACACTACAAACACGTCCATCAGGTATCAGGGTTTCTCAATGTCTTTTAATCATTGATTGAAAATGTACAATCCAAATCTATGTTGTGGTTTCATTCATCCTTAAAGAGAACAAAGATATTATAACATAGATAAAGTATACCTACTCCCTTGTTATCAGGAAGGAAGGTTTTAAGGTGGAGGGAAATTCGTGTTGTATATCTATTCATCGATCCATCCATATATACATGAATACTTAGTATACACACACGCGCGCGCATGGTTTGTGTGTGTTTGAGGGATGGGGGAGTGACACATTCGTGAATCAAAAGTGTCTACAGTCTGTTTGCGTTGAAAACGTACCGATGAATTTCACTTTAAACAAAAAAGTAAATCAAATAAAGTGAAATTAAGATTGCGAATCCTCATTTTTATAACTTGCCAACTGAACGTTTTACATCTCTGAATTTTTTTCAACTTAGAATAAAAGTTGTTTAGCAAACGATCATAAATTCAAATCGTTATTATTGGTTTGTATTTTTACAAGGGGGTAAGCGCAGTAGTTGAAACAGTGCAACAAATGCACGTTCGGTATGTGATGAGCGTTAACTTAGACCAACCCTCCTTGTTCTCGGTGTTTCATTTAATGTGCATACCCCCTTGTAATACAAACCAATAATAGGTAGTATAGACTTATAACATACAACATCTTGTTCAAATGTACCTTTTTTTGTTTCAGGTTTATAATCAGCCTCAATGAATTGCACTTACAAAGGCTGTTTCTTTATGTGCGTGGTGACATGTTTGGCTGCTGTAGCTTTCTATTTGAGAATGACTCAATCATTGGATGTGTTTGTCGTGGAAAGTTTGATGTCAACAACACCTAACGTGAAACAAGTATCCCTCTTAGAAGTCTCTCAAAAGCACCCCCTCGTGCTTCATTGGCAGAGTGTGAAGATTACGTCAGCAGGTTCACAAAACCGAACAGTAAAGCGTATTGTGTGGATGAACGTTCCAGCCTGGTTGAACACTGCAAAATCCTTCGACCACTGTAAGGTTCGTTCGTGTGAAATAAGTACGAACGAGGCACTCATTTCATCAGCTGATGCTGTGATTGTCCATGGTGTGGGTTTGCCTGCTTCAAAACACCCAAACAACAACATGGGCCAGGTGTGGATTATGTATGGATGGGAATCACCTCTTCACTATTTTTCAAACACGATTTTCCGTTCTGATTGGAATGGACGTTTTAACTGGACATTGACGTACCGTTTGGATTCGGATATACCCTTTCCTTACAATAGGATCTTGTATACAGGAGGCACTGTGAATATAAGTGATGTTCTAAGACGAAAAAGCCGATCAATAGCTTGGTTTGTTAGTAACTGTGGTACACCGTCAAAGAGGGAAGTGTATGTTCAAGAACTGCGAAAACATATCGATGTCGACATTTATGGCGCCTGCAGGTATAACAAGAGCTTTGACTGCCCGAAAGAAATGTCCCTCGGGTGTCTTAGTCTCCTAAACACCACGTATAGGTTTTATCTTTCGTTTGAAAACTCCTTATGTAAAGACTATATCACAGAAAAGTTCTACAACACGTTCATGACTTCAGCTATTCCCATCGTTCGTGGAGGCGCTGACTATGCACGTCTTCTGCCAGAAGGAACCTTTATCAATACGGCATCATTTGACAGTCCCAAGAGTTTGGCAAACTATATCAAATATTTGGAGAGAAATGAGACAGCTATAGGAGATATTCTTGCTAAGAAGCACAAATATGAATACATTCATTCAGCAAGTACGGAGTTTGATTGGAGGTGTCAGTTGTGTTCCAAGTTACATGGTAATATTACGAGAAAGCATTACACAGATATGAAACAGTGGCTTGTGACTGGGAAATGCATAAGCCGGCCCAAAGATCTGCCGTGATGACTGGTATTGTAAGAAACTTGTCACCAGATATCATAACGACAGCAGTTGTTCTCACTCAATTCTTGGACCACACCAATTTTAGAACATTATCTTATCTGTGATGTTTTACTAACTCACATGATTAATTTGGCGACTGAGGGTGATCGCCAATACAGGCGACCTTACTGATGTGTTTGAACCGATCGAAAAGGCGACGTTCTTTGTCCGTCACTCGTAGACATAGATCTGTAGATTAGATGCTGTATATTAAACGTTTATGCATTCTTCATTGATACACTGAAATTTTCATTCCTTCCTTTATACTTAATATTTCGTCCGTCCAGCCTGAACAAAATACAGTGTTACATAGAGACTCTTCCAAGGTCGATGTTTGATGTCGACTCTTCCAGCCTTATCCTTTGGTTTGGTTTGGTTGTTGTTTAACGCCGCACACATCAACATTCCAGATATATATCTTGTGTGAGTGAGTGAGTTTAGTGTTACGCCGCACTCAGCGATATTCCAGCTATATGGCGGCGGTCTGTAAATAATCGAGTCTGGACCAGACAGTCCAGTGATCAACAACATGAGCATCGATCTGCGCAATTGGGAACCAATGACGTGCCAACCAAGTCAGCGAGCCTGACCACCTGATCCCGTTAGTCGCCTCTTACGACAAGCATGGGTTGCTGAAGGCTCATTCTAACCCGGACCTTCACTGTTTATATATCTTGTGTAAATCACTCGTCGTTCTACAAATGCACTGCAAAATGAATTGCTTCACATATAATGAAAAGATGTTATATATTCGGTGTGGACAACTATTCTGTCACGTTACATTCACAAACTGGTTTTCACTTTTTGTATATCGTGTCCATGACTGTATGATTTAGAACATTCAATACGAAACTGAGGTTCTATTAGGGTATTCAATGTATGTCTTACGGGATAGTTTGTATGTATCATCCTATATTTATGATCAAAACTTCGAACTTTTATTTTAGCAGCATAGAGTGAGTGAGTTGTAGTCACTTCGGCAGTATTTCAGCCAAACAAGTGCTCGCCAAATACAATACGTATTCCCCCATAAAGGATTGTACCATCTGGAATCAGACGCTCGTGATAATCTCGCATTTATTCAAATTCAAGATATTTCCGAACATTAGAAGTATTTGTAAATAACTCATTCTGTGATCAGCACAGAATGGTGTAGATGCATTTGTCATGGGCATAGATGTAATAATTCCAAACATGGTATATTGTACATAATTGTAAGTACACTATTTGATGAAGTGAACCTGTATCAGCAATATGAATTTACTCTCAGCTTCATTTAATAATATTTCTGCTTTTCAAGAGCAAAGAGAGCGTTTTTGTATTAACCACTTCATTTTGTTTCCAGGCGGTGGGGCAGCCTACAGGTTAAAGCGTGTGGTGCCTCACCGTATATATTTTTGTAATCCCTAGGAGTGGAATATGTTCTGAGTTACCTATACAGAATAACCCCAGAGGACACTGGACTTGTGAGGAATGCGTAACACACTTCTGTGCTTCTCTGTAACATGCAGTTGTTAACTTGTATGATAATGTATATCATGTTCTGACATTACAATTTGTATTGTATAAGATGTTGTTTGGAGCGGTGTTAACACCAGCAATAACAGTTTATTCATCAATCTCTATTCGTTTTTTGAATAAAATATGTTTAAATCAGATATATGTGTGTGCATGTGTAATCTCCTACATTTGATGAAACACATTCTTCGTTACTTCGTGGCACCCGTGAAGAGCCACCTAATCGTGGTGGGTGCTGGGTAACCCAATTACTGGTCGTAAGACCGAACTGGGCAATCTGTTTGCCGTGGGTTACGCCCCTGTGTCGGTGGAGGACGGGATTCTGGTGGTTGAGGGCACTGGGAGCCTGGAACCGTGTTCCTTTTGCCCAACACACCACTTTATAATAATAGTCCATTTATATATATTGCGCGTTTATCCATGCACATTGCATGCTGAAAGCGCTGACATATTACCCCTGGTCAACGAGTACAGAACACTCCATGTGGAGAATACATCCGGTCGCCTTTCAGGCGCTCAAGGTTCAAATTCAGACTACCATCGTATCAGACCAGGTACCCAGTTTTACTGCTGGGTGGACAAAAGCAATTTTGAACAAACTCACTTGCCTAAGGTGAGACCACATGCGTCACATGTGCTTCGTTGTGGGGCAGGACTGAAGTCCTAGAAACTTTCAGGAGTCGAGCTGCCAAACACTCACGCACCCATCCGAGGACCCATCTTTGGTCCTTACTTCACCTAGACGGGTGGTAGAATTGGCCCGATTCTATCAATTGGATGGTCACGCCAAGCCCTGTGCATGGTAATCATATTATTTGCACCTTTACTTATTTTTGGGCCTTGGTTATTTTGATCGTAAATGTACAAATTATTATTATTATGTTAAATATAGAGTCCTATGCCAGAAGACGATGGCTCATGGGCCAATCTGGTGATAATGGCCTCCAAATCGGTAGATAAAGGCAGCTATTTGTGTCATTTTCTCTGGAGTATAACACCCCTGTATCCTTGGTGTCAGCATCCTGGATATCCGTTGCTATTTTGACAACATCCCTGTTGACACTCCGTGGTGGGTGGGGAGCAGGGGTGTCGAATTATTTTCCTTTCATCATGTTACCCCAACAAGCTGGTTCATCTCGGAATGAAAAAAGAGACGTCTAGACGAAATGGATCGTCCAAATGAAAACAATTCTTTAAACGTTGATTCTTTGGCTAGATTCTCAGTGATCGAAGCTGAATGACTACCTACCTATTAAATTGAATCCATTCGCTATTTCCAAAGCCATCCATGGTATTTGTGGGGAAGTTAGAAATGTCTCCGTAGTGGTTCACTTCTTATGGAGTGCGCACGGAGACAGCAATCTCTTAATCTCTTGTCTATCAAAACATTTGCTATTGTTGAGGTTGCAGTCTCCGTGCACAGGACTCTCAATTCCTGCAAAGGTATTATAAGAGACAGAGCTTGTTGTCTCTCTGACATGTCACAGGAGGACATAACTGAAGAGCTTGAAGACCAGGCCGTCACGGCGGTTAAACGTTTTACTATAAAAAAGATGGCAAAATCACAATACAAATACTTATCTCCTGACCCTTGCTAGATCATTCCTTCCGCAGTCGATCAAAGCAGGTTATGTGAACATCGGTGTGGATGTGTATGTCCCCAATCCACTCCAGTGTTATAAATGTCAACACTTTCGACATCGGTTTCACTCGTGCCGTAATACAATGGTGTGTCATCGTAGTGGTGACCGCGATGAAAATACAGATTACACAAATGACTACAAATGTGCCAATTGTGACGGCCCACATTCAGCTTCATCCAGGGGGTGCCCTGTGTTTCAAAGGGAATAAAAAATAATGAAAATTAAATGTGAAAAAAATATTTCTTACCTTGAGGCAAAAAAACTTTTCACAAATCAGTCATCACTTCCATCAAATATCACCTATTCTGCCGCAGTCACCCTTTCCGTTGCGGTGTCCTCCACTGCATGTCAGACTAACTTGACGTGGGTCTAGTCAGAAAACCTGTCTCTTCAACCTCTAAACCTACTTCCCCAGTCAGTCACTCTACGTCAGGTCTCAGACTGAAATTCAGAATGAAATGTCGACTTTAATGCAATAGAATTGCAGAGGATTGCAGAATAACTCTATGAGATCCACTTATTATGCCCCGTCGCGCGGTTAGCGGGAAGCGGGGATATAGTATTAGCCTCCGTCCGTCCGTACGTACGTACAAATTGGAATATCTCAAGAACCGTTGACTAGATTCTTTTCAGATTTAGTACCTAGATTCATCACAGTATGCAAAAGGTCCCAGTCAGGTTTGGTGACCTTGACCTTCCTTTCAAGGCCACAAGCGGACTTTAACGTCTTACCCTTGTCAGCGAGATATCTCAAGAACCGTTCACTGGATTTCCTTCATATTTGACACCAAGCTTCATCATCAGTCGATTTTGGTGACCTTTACATACGTTTCAAGGTCATGGCGACACTTTGAAGATTTCAGCATGTTAACCTGCATGTTAAGCTTGTCAGCAAGACATCTCACAAACGATTCACTGTATTTTCTTCATATTTGACACAAAGCATCATCTTGGGAAGGTGCATGTTGACTGGTCATGCTTTTGGTAACATTTAACTTCATCTTAAACTACAATCTTCACTTTCATTGCTTTTTAAGTTTGATTTGATGATTTGCGGCGGGGGATTATGTCACCTTAGTGACAATGCTTGTTGATTTTAAACCGTCAGCGTTATGTCTGCAAGAGACGTACATGTACCTAAAAGATACAGATACTTTTAATTTGAGACGGTACAGTAATTACCACTCTTATTCTCCCCCTGGAGATAGAGCAACAGGGGGTACTTCCATTTTAGTACGACAGGATATCATACATAGCCCTGTCGTTCTTAATACTAATCTTCAGAGTGTAGCTGTTCGTTTGACCCTACAGATTGCAATAACACTGTGCAGCCTGTACATACCTCCTTCTAGTAATATTCAACAGTCTAAGCTCCCAAATTTATATGATCAACTTCCGAAGCCATGTCTCTTCTCATTATGGGTGACCTCAACGGGCACAACCCGCTTTGGGGAAGTGATCACACATAAATAAATAAAGGTAAAATCCTTGAGGAATTTATTTCTAATAATAATTTATGTATTTACAATGACGATTCAGCCACCTATTTACATCCAGCTACGGGAAAATATTCTTCCCTGGATCTATCACTTGCAAATTCCAACTTATATAATGAATTTGAATGGATGGTCCATGATGACGTAAGTGGGAGTGTTCACTTCCCCACCATTCTCAAAAACATCAACTCTGGTGATGATCCACCTGTATCAAGAAGGAACTTCACCAGGAATGATTGGTCATTATATAAGACTCTGTGTGTTGAACACTTGAAGCATGATCTTTTTAGGAACAGAGAAGATCCTTTACAGTCTTTTTCGGATACAAGGAAAATCCAAAATATTTATGATCATCAAGCGTTTATTATACATGTATAGACATTCAAAAACAGCATCACAACATAACTGGCTTGAATATCGACACACTGCACTTTTATTGCTTTGACTGAATAAACAACATCGTATCACTTCGCGTGAACAAACAACAGAAGACGACTTTGTCAGTAGAGACGTCAAATTTACAATTAAACATCACTAGACAAGATTATTTACCTTTTAAGTTATAAGTTGTTTTTGCTGGGCATTGTATTATTTGCAGGGATTAAGATTACCGTGCGTATTTGTCTCGTACACAAAGCCGGAAATAGCAATCAGCTGTGCACACGTTACCCGGCGAACAAGTTCAAACATGCACAATAATATAACGGGATGAATTCTGACGCAGTCGTCAGTAAAATATAATACAGAATACTATTATTTAACCCAAAGAATTTTATTTACAGTTTTTATGTAAAATATATATAATCAACCCTAAGGTTATACGGACCCTCATGAACGTGGTACGCACATGGAATGGGGTAAAATACGGAAGCCATTTAAATTCACACATTTTTACCGATGTTACTGTAAACTAGCAGTCAATGGAAAACGAGGCGGTAATCAGTTCGTGATTGTTGAATGGGGTAAAATAAGCAAGCCAGTTTGTTGCTACAATAAATATGATATTTAGAGAAGCTATATTATGCATTTTCTGTCAACTACACTTCGTTTCGATCCGTGAGTAGACACAATAATATATATGACACCACGTCTCGTGTCAAAACACGTGGGACTCTCGCACTTCCCTTCACACTTAGCGGTAGATCCTTCGGATAGGTGAGTCAATTTTGTGTTGATTTAGCGGGTGTAAAAGATCAAAGCGAATATCGTTATAGACAGTCACTTTTATAACGTAAGAGAATGGGACCGGAAGGTGAGTCAATCTGGTGTTTGTATGTTGATTTAGACATTGCGGTTTGTTTGCAAAAATGTACCGTAAAACCATGGAACGGAAACAATAGATTAACATGAAATCCGAATATCCGTTATTGATCAGTCTAGAACTTTTTTAAAATGCAACAGTAAAAGAGAATGTCGTATCGATATTTTTCGAGAAAAATTGACCGGAATGGCGAAGGTTTCATGAGTTTGGTTTGAGGGTCGTTTACCTCCTTTTTATATCACAGATATCTGAGTGGGTTCAACCCTGTCTGGTATACCGAAGGTCCACAGTGAGTGAGTATCACACTGTTTGGCATTAGGAACAACAGTTTATCCGAGGTTTTAAATGATTCAATCGATGAATCACTTTTTGTGGATGATTTGAATATTTCTTGTCGCGGTAAAAATATGCATACTAATGAACGGCAACTGCTGTTGTGTTTAAATAAAATAAATGAATAGTGTCTTGAAAACGGCTTTTAATTTTCTAAGTCAAAAACTAATTGTCTACACTTCTGTAGCAAATATAAGCCACACAAGAACCCACAACTATCTTTAATTGGCACGCCCATCAAAGTTGTCAAGGAGGCCAAGTTCTTGGGTCAAATTTTCGACTCCCATTTAACTTTACTTCCGCATATCAAATACCTTAAAAATAAATGCCTGAAGGCACTTGACTTCTTGAAAGTCGTTTCTAATTCTAAGAGGGGAGGGGACCAAGCTACCCTCCTAAACCTATACTGATCACTGGTCCGTTCGAAACTTGATTACGGCTCCATCGTATGTAGTGGAATCTGCAAAAGCAATCTTAAAATTCTTGATTCTGTCCACCGCCAAGGTCTAAGACTTTGTCTTGGATCCTTTAAAACTTCTCCTGTTGACAGTCTCTACGTCGAAGCAGATGAGCCATCTCTTACGCAACACCGTATTAAATTATCTTCACAATATATGACAAAACTATACTCTAACGAATCTAACCCTGCATATAACTGTGTCTTCAACCCCCTCTATGAGGATTTATTTGTGCTCGGAATTAAACCTTTCATTTCTGCTGCCGGCATTGAGTTGGAAAATATAGCTCCTTCCCATCTGCTTTTTTCTCCTGCTTGGCAATTCGTGAGGCCAGAAGTTGACCTAACACTGACAGCATTTAAAAATCAGAACCTAATGAATAACAATATAAACAAGAATTTAATCAATTAAAAAGTAAATACAATACATACAAATCCTTATTTACAGCTGGGTCCAAGGGTGGTTGCGCAGTTGCTTGTGCCAATGTCATTGGATTCAGGACAATCTTCTCAACTACCAGATAAAAGCTCTATTTTCACAGCAGAAGCCAACGCCGTATTAACGGCTCTTAAATATACTCAAAGACCATCTATTCAGTCTCTCTTTCGTGCCTTCAGGCTATTAAAATATATCTTCTAACCATCATCCACTTTTAATAGAAATTATTGAATTGTATAATGATCTTGCTACTGGCCAATGAGACATCGTCCTTTCGTTAGAACGTACATCCGTGATCTGTATCAATAAATTACATGAAATAAAATCCTATATCGGTTACACCTGCTTGTGTTGTCAGTCCTGATTTGAGGAGATCATCTTGCGACGATGTCGCATTGGCCAAACGCGTCATACTCACAAATACCTGTTAAAAGGTGAAGATCCTCCCTTTTGTATCCCTTGTGATGAGAGAGTCACAGTCAAGCATGCCTTGTTTGACTGTATTGTATTATCCATCATAAGGGATAACTATTTCAATATGAAAACAGTTAAGGATCTTTTTACCACTGTTAATTTTCATTTAGGGATTTTGATTTATTTGATGAATTTAGATTAATATGTTCTGCAGATAGATTGTATTATTTAATGATTGGTAGGTTAGGTAACTTAGGTTGTTAGTGGTTGTACCCTCAAAGGGGGTTAAAGTATTGTAAAACTATTGTCTTAGTGAGAGGGTACATAAGTCCCGAAGCATTCAAAGTAAATTTCAAATTTCCAAGTTCTTTAAACGTAGTATTTTCGTGATTTTAATTTATCGCTAAATTTGACTAAAATCGCCAGGGGCTAAAGGAATGATATAAATCCAACTAGGGTCCATGCAGGTAGCAAAAGTACTGTGAGTCCCCATGGTCCCATGTATGCTGATCTACCTTCAGTAGTTGGCAATCAATAGCTCATTTTGACATTGTATTGTCCCAAAATAATTTTCTACTCTTAAAAATACATGCTAGCTAGTTTTAACTCATTTTGTGATAATCTAGTAGTTTTACTGTCCTTCGTTTATAGGGTTTTATATAATATATGTATGTATTCTGAATTTAGAACTAGTTTTAGTCACGATATGACTGAAATATTGCCGATATGAAATTTTAACCCACTCACTCACTCTAGCATTCTCATGGCGCGAAGACTCTGATTTTCTGTAAGCCTTGCCATGACGTTCGCGCAGTTTAGGTTGAAATTCACATGTTTTTCCACAACATTCAGAGGTTATCGAATAATCAACAGTTCTTTTCAATGTCTGGTGTGGGAACTTCAGGTGTCACAAAGCATGCAAAAGGTGAATAATGTCATTGTGCACAAAGTGCACATGCCACGCACGATACGTGAGATCACATTTCATGCAAAGTGCTTTGCTAGATGTTTATTTAGGGTTATTTTATTACTTCTCAAATAACTTTTATTTCATAAAGTTTATGTTATGCAAACTTACTTTTTTCCGTCAGTATACATGTACGTATCTCTTTATTGCTACCCCTCAGCCATATTGGTGTCATGTAGGTATATTATAATATCGTGGTTTATTTGTATTAAAACTATTCAACAAACCAAATGTGTGGTTACATGTTGTTGAGAAGTTACAAACAGTGATATCGATGTCGTCGTATGTTCATGGTGGAAAGAACAACAGAAATGTTGTATGCTTTGCCGAGCCTGACATATTTGCATACCCGCTGTAACCAGCCACCTGGAAAAAACTCCCCTGTCGAGTATGAAAAACCTGTTGTCGAGACGCGGACTGAGGAAAGGGATATTCAGACTGCAGATGTACTCACAACGTAAAGGACGATACATGACACGAGGGTGTGATCACGTGAACATGATGATATTTCCAGGCGGACACCGGGCTGGATTCTTGTTCAAGGTAGTGTTCATTTGCTGTTCATATGTTTTCGAGGCAATGTATTGACATTCACTTTTATGTACCTTAGTACACGAGACTATATTAGTCGGATTTCCATGGATAAGTACTTAGCCAAGTTGCCACATCATGCACGAGATTTGTTTGCTTCGGAGATGAACGCATTGACACAGTTACCTGATCGACTGGTGGCTGTATAGTAAACTGCCCAAGCGTATCTCCCATATATTTATTCACACCTATGCTATAGGCTTTGAACATCTCAGAAAACGAGCTCTACCCTCATTTTCAGTATAAATTGAAGTCATTGAAACCCAACTGTATTTCCTTGATCCACGTAAAACAGTAGGCAAGTGACGTTGTTCAAATATGTTCCTTGGTTCACACAATAGTGGTCGGATACCCAATGGGATGACCTTACTGATAACACTAACATACAGCTGGGGTTGTAGTGTACACTGATTCACTAGCAATAATGTAAGGGCTTTGAGGATAAGCCTTGAATCTGAGATTAGGACAATATAAGCAGACACATCGTTTATATGTTTATTATTATTACTATTATTATTATTCATGGATCAGTTTACCATAAATACTGAAGGTGATTTAACTGGGTTTATCGATAACAATGAAATAGCGGATCGCTGTCGGGTTGCTGTGCACTGACCTTTTCACGTACCCCTGGGACAATCAATTCTTGATAAGGATTCATGGAAAAATGCTTATTATATATATCTCCATCCAGTTAGTTGGAAAGGATATTGCACACACTGTTATATCTAGTAGTAACAGTCTATTCATTCATGTAGCATTTATTCCATTCATTGGACGATTTACAGTTCAGTTCTTAAACAGTTATGTGGAAGCGTCATGGTTTTAAGCAGCCCTTCCTTTTTTTGAGAAAAATATTGTAATTCGTGCAAATATATTTCTTGTTTATGGAAAGGATTTTGTCCCCTATATATTGTAATATATTAATGCATATCCATCAGGCAAATGGAATGCTTCAATGCAATGTTCCTTGCCTTTGTTGAACCATGTAATATAAAATTTTATTAATCACCTATTTTATAATAGCAAACGCTCGGATACAGATCCACGTTGACCTAGTGCTTTCAATGCTCTGTTATGAATTCACTTTGTTAACACAGCCTGGGAAGATGTGCTGGATAAACAACACTACACACACTTCTATTTCCGGCATCAAGAGTTTTCAATGTAATGGTCTCTTAATCATTGATTGGAGGATTTACAGTCCAAATCAATGATACGCCCCATGGTTATAAACATATCCTTCATCTTTATAAAAAGCAAAAACATTATAATTAGTACGCAGATAAAGTATACACAATCATAATTATCATTATTTTTTGGTTTTCTTCATACACATATATCCATTCACCCTCCCATTCGCCCATATAATGGCATATTTACATGCATACATTATACACAGAGGCACGCATACACGCCCGCACACGCACACACACATACACAATGTGTGTATATGGGGGAGGAGGAAGTGATACATTCATGAATCAAAATTATTAATCTAACATACAAAATCTTGTTAAAATGCACCTGTTATCAGGAAGAGAGAGAGAGAGAGAGAGAGAGGGAGGAGAGGGAGAGGAGGGAGGGAGGGAGGGAGGAGGAGGAGGGAGGAGGGAGAGAGAGAGAGAGAGAGAGAGAGAGAGAGAGAGAGAGAGAGAGAGAGAGAGAGAGAGAGAGAGAGAGAGAGAGAGAGAGAGAGAGAGAGAGAGAGAGAGAGAGAGAGAGAGAGAGAGAGAGAGAGAGAGAGAGAGAGAGAGAGAGAGAGAGAGATTATTTATTACGTATTTAAGTCTCACCCGATATATTACGTCTTAAAATACATAATAGGTTATATTTCATATACCAGCCGCCCACATGTGTTATGAGAGGCTTTTGTGCATAAAATAACCCCTACGAAACGTCTTGGATTTTTCAAGCATTTGATGTTCACACCAGCACAAGTGACAAGCAGCATCGGGTCCTGTGTGCATAGCAACCAGCCCGCTACGACAGTTTAGGTGCGACCAACTCAGCACTACGATCACACTCATGGTGGGGTATGCTGTTTTGTCTAAAAATGCAGTCGTAAGATTGATTTGTCTTGGATATTTGAAGAATTTCATTTTTTCACCATGACAACTATGAACAGGGGTGTGTTGGGAGCCGTTGTTCATAACAACCACTGGGCAGGTCCTAAGCCCCGTGTCAAGTTACGAGAATAAACCAAACAGAATCCCTCATTTAAGTGACGCCACATGAAGGTTCAATTTCACTATTTACAACCTGCCCTGGTACATGTTAAACATTTAAATGGCTTGTATAGGCTAGCTTCAGTAACAGCCTGCACTCGGTGCAGGTAACAATAAATCCTCCAACAATTAATAGCTGTCATCGTGTGTTTTAATTGGGAGAGAGAGAGAGAGAGAGAGGGGGGGGGGGGAGAGAGAGAGAGAGAGATAACCTTTTTTAAGGCAAGAATGTTATGGATGTCAACTTCTATATTGTGAGGAGTCACGACGTTCCCTGGCTTCCACTTGTCCATCTTCCAATTAACTACTGGTTTCCCTTGTTATCTCCAAACTGTTGTTGTTTTAACATGTACATATATAGCTGTTTGTTCCTAACTGTTTCATTCACCTGATGTAGGGTAAGAATATACTTCAAAACGTGACCCTTCACAATAAAGAAGTTGACATCCATAAAATTCTTGCCTTTATGTGTATTCACTTCTAAATGCCCTTCAAAGACTCTGCATCGTTTTTTGTTTCAGCTTCAGTCACAATGAATTGCAGTTACAGGGGATGTTTCTTTATATGCCTGGGGACAACTTTGGCTTGTGTAGCTTTATATTTGAAAATGGATCAATCACTGGATGTGTCTGTAGTGGAAGGTTTCATGTCAACAACACCTGACGTCTCTCAAAAGCATTCTCTCGTGCTTCATAGACAGAGTGTGAACAATACGTCAGCAGGTTCACCAAACGGAACGTTAAAACGTACTGAAGCTAACGTGAAGCAAGTATCCCTCTTAGAAGTCTCTCAAAAATATCCCCTCGTGCTTCATAGGAGTGTGAAAATTACGTCAGCAGTTTCATCAAACGGAACAGTAAAACGTATTGTGTGGATGAACGTCCCGCCTTGGTTCACGACTGCAAAATCCTTCGATCACTGTAAGGTTCGTTCGTGTGAAATAAGTACGAACGAGGCACTCATTTCATCAGCTGATGCTGTTATTGTCCATGGTGTGCATTTGCCTGCTTCAAAACACCCAAACAATAACATGGATCAGGTGTGGATTATGTATGGATGGGAATCACCTCTTCACTATCATTCAAACACGATTTTCCGTTCGGATTGGAATGGACGTTTTAACTGGACATTGACGTACCGTTTGGATTCGGATATACCCTTTCCTTACAATAGGATCTTGTATACAGGAGGCACTGTGAATATAAGTGATGTTCTAAGACGAAAAAGCCGATCAATAGCTTGGTTTGTTAGTAACTGTGGTACACCGTCAAAGAGGGAAGTGTATGTTCAAGAACTGCGAAAACATATTGATGTTGACATTTATGGCGCCTGCAGATCTAACAAGAGCTATGACTGCCCGAGAGAAAGGTCCCTCGAGTGTCTTAGTCTCTTAAACACCACGTATAGGTTTTATCTTTCGTTTGAAAACTCCTTATGTAAAGACTATATCACAGAAAAGTTCTACAACACGTTCATGACTTCAGCTATTCCCATCGTTCGTGGAGGCGCTGACTATGCACGTCTTCTGCCAGAAGGAACCTTCATCAACACCGCATCATTTGACAGTCCCAAGAGTTTGGCGAACTATATCAAATATTTGGAGAGAAATGAGACAGCTATGGGGGATATTCTTGCAAAGAAGCACAAATATGAATACATTCATTCAGAAAGTACGGAGTTTGATTGGAGGTGTCAGTTGTGTTCCAAGTTACATGGTAATATTACGAGAACGCATTACACAGATATGAAACAGTGGCTTAAGACCGGAAAATGCATGGAACGGGTCAACGATCTGCCGTAATGATTGGTATTGTAAGAAACTAGATATCATAACGACAGTGGTTGTTCACACTCAATTCTTGGACCATAACAATTTCAGAACATTATCTTATATGTGATGTTTTACTAACTCACATGATTAATTTGGCGACTGAGGGTGATCGTCAATACAGGCGACCTTACTGATTGTGCGTGATCCGATCGAAAGAGGACGTTCTTTGTCCGTCACTCGTAGACATAGATCTGTACATTAGATGTTGTATATTAAACGTTATTCATTCTTCATTGATACATTGAAATGATCATTCCTTCCTTTGTACTTAATATTTCGTCCGTCCAGCCTGAACAAAGTACACTGTTACATATAGCCTCTTCCAAAGTCGATGTTTGTGATCGACTCTTCCAGCCTAATCATTGGGTTTGGTTTGGTTGTTGTTTAATCCCGCACACAACAACATTCCATTCCAGATATATAGCGGCGGCCTGTAAATGATAGAGTCTGGGCCAGACAATCCAGTGATCAACGCCATGAGTATCGATGTACGGATTTAGAACATGTGTCAAGCCAGTCAACGAGCATGACCATTCGATCCCGTTAGTCGCCTCTAAAGTCAAATTTTAACCCGGATCTTCACGGGTACACAGCTTTCACAGTGATGCAAGTGTTCTATAAAGTGTTCGGAAAGATATTTTAACCACATTGGAAGTATTTCAGCCAAGCAAGTTGCACATCCATGACACATAAACTCGGAACATAAAAACCTGTTGACGAAAAACAGTAACTACAACTAGAATATCGCAAATATAGACTGATGTAAAACTAGTATGTAAATCTAGTATGTAAAACTAGTATGTAAACTAGTATGTAAATCTAGTATGTAAATCTAGTATGTAAAACTAGTATGTAAATCTAGTATATAAATGTACGTAAATCTAGTATGTAAATCTAGTATGCAAATCTAGTATGTAAAACTAGTATGTAAAACTAGTATATAAATGTATGTAAATTTAGTATGTAAATCTAGTATGTAAAACTAGTATGTAAATCTAGTATGTAAAACTAGTATGTAAATCTAGTATATAAATGTATGTAAATCTAGTATGAAAATCTAGTATGTAAATCTAGTATGTAAAACTAGTATGTAAATCTAGTATATAAATTTATGTAAATCTTGTATGTAAATCTAGTATGTAAAACTCGTATGTAAATCTAGTATATAAATGTATCTAAATCTAGTATGTAAATCTAATATGTAGATCTAGTATGGTGACCTACCTTCAGTTGCTAGTGATCTCTAGCCCGTTTTTATATATTGTATTGTTCATAAAATGTGTTTAATGTTACAGTTACATGCTAGTTTTAATTCTCTATCTGTGACGATCTAGTTATTTTACTGTGCTTCTTCGATAGCTTTGTTCATTTTTTAATTGCATTTATTATTTGAATTTGTTAAAGTCACGATATGGCTGAAATATTGCCGATGTGACTATAAATCTTAACTCACTCACTCACTAGTATGTAGTCCCTCGTATGGTGATCTACCTAGGTTGTTGGCGATTACCAGCCCATTTTTACATTGTATTGTCCAAAAATACTTTTAAAGATATATGCTAGCTAGTTTTAACTCATTTTGTGATAATCTAGTAATTTTAATGTATTATGAATTTATAACTAGCTTTAGTCTCGATATGGCTGAAATATTGCCGATGTGATTTTAAATTTTAACTCACTCACTCACTCACTCACTCACTCACTAGTCTGTAAACCCCATACAATAGACAAACAGGGGTTTTAAACTGTAGATTGTCACTTACCGATTACAGTACCTTTGCTTCCTACATGGACCCTACATAGATTTACACCATCATCGAAGCAATTGGAGATTGTGCTATTTATCTATTCCGAAAACACACTCATCAAAATTCTATTTCGCTTCAAAAATAAAAAAAACAAATGAAACCCGACATTATTAAAAGATCCCCGACTGATTTCACACTGAAATGTTTATCCGTTGTGATAGAAAAACCAGCACAGTCTGAAATATATGGCACGGTTACAAAATAACATATTAATAAATATCACAGATGTTGCTGTCAAAAGATACTCATATGTTATTACAAAAATATAGAACATCAATGCCAGTCCAGTATCCTTTGCCGGCTGTTGTCAACCCAGAACACACACGTCAAAAACGTCGAATTTACCAACAAAATAAGGATTTTCTTTTTAAATAACGAGAAATTTTCATTAAGTTAGATACTTTATGCAAAAATGGTGCGACTTTTGAGAAAGCATACTTCAAATATACATGTATATTCACGTTATAAAGTGATCATGAAACAAGCCTTCTCAATACCAGTCTGAGGAGGGGCGGTGGGGTAGCCTAGTGGTTAAAGCGTTGGCTCGTCACGCCGAAGACCCGGGTTCGATTCCCCACATGGGCACAATGTGTTAAGCCCATTTCTGGTGTCCCCCGCCGTGATATTGCTGGAATATTGCTAAAAGCGGCGTAAAACTAAACTCAGTCAGTCAGTCAGCCAGTCTGAGGAAATGGGACTTTAAATAAAATACGTTAGCAACAAACAGTTATCTTTAGAAATCCTTTGAGACCATTTGAAAGTTTTCTGAAAAGCGTAATACAAGAAATGTTCAGTCATGCAACCCATAACAAATTCAGAACGGACGTAATATAACATCAGGTGCAAGGCAAACCTTGATAATTCTACTAATTTGATAACTGCACGGTTTCCCCGGCTGTAGCCACTTTTCCATCGGGTGTGATGTGCTGAACATTTGCCGTTTCCAGACTACCTTGGTAATTCTACTAATCTGATAACTGAACGGTTCCCTGACTGTAGCTACTGATACCTCCAGTGTGATGTGCTGAGCATTTGCCGTATCCAGACTACCTTGGTAATTCTACTAATCTGATAACTGAACGGTTCCCCGACTGTAGCCACTTTTCCATCCAGTGTGATGTGCTGAACATTTGCCGTTTCCAGACTACCTTGGGAACTGGATTCGTATATTGAACGTACGATCAGCTGTTTCTGCTTGTAATGCTTCGATAATCGTTTCCAAGTGTGATACACATTCCTTGGTCGTTCATTTTATCATGTTTTTGTTTGTTAAAAGTTCATAACCACCTAATGAGACGACCTAAAAATAATCATGTCTCGATCAAATAACCAGAGATGCAACAATCCATGGGCATCAGTCATCGAGCCAGTCCAGGCGATAAAACTGTAAATCCTGGTAAATCCTGTAAGCTGCTGGGGAGAGTCTTTGACAGGTAATCGTTTTGTACTATATACAGACACAAGAGGCACACCGACAGGATCATTATCAGCGATCGATATTATAATGTTCACTTTTCACTTAATTTACGTGTCCAAAGCAGGATACGACGAAAAGTAGTACAAAATTATGTACACGCATACTACTTTAGTATCTTGATTTAACACTGGACCAGCCACAAATTGTGGACAAAACAAATTACGTTTATGAAATAGCATTGTTAGCATTATTTTTAAAATAGTTGTATGTACATTATTTTGAAACCTTGTTTGGCTTTCCCTTATAAACGTAAGAAGTTGCTGTGTTACATTGTGTTACATGCTCACAGTGTTCTAGTTAAAGTATAAATACACTATTTCAGCATATATAGGGGCACGGCATTTTAAAGGCCGTGGACGGTGATTCCGTAATTCTGATCGATTATTATTTAAGTGTGACCAATGTATAGGTTATAAGATGAGTTGGAAGTAGCAAGCTGTATCAGTGAATCATCTGTCTTCGCAATTGTCCATCACATGTAAGTTTCATCTCTTTGAATGTGACGGATTTAAACGAACGTGTAGTTCAATAAGTATGTATACTACCCATCAAATGTTTAGACTCACTAGTGTAAATGTAGCCACTTACTTCACTCAACTGTTCTAAACTAGATTTTGCAAAATATTCCATACTCTTTAAAGGTACTGTTTACACATGAACTGATGTATTGTAAATTCACGTTGAAAAGATTATTATCATGAGTTCAGTGAAAATTGGCGAATTCTTAGCAAAACTCAACACCAAAACGCAGCTGTTCGCATGCACGATATTTGCACATGCTTTTCAGCAATTTGATGCATAATCCTCTTACAACCCATCTGCATAAGGTTTGCATTTGGTTCACCATTAGTGTATGACGATTGAAGAAAGGTTGAGGAATGGTGTTCCATGTCTGAACCAACGCTTGTCCAAATTCATTCCAATTCATCCGAAGAGTGCACGTTAGGGGACAGCTCAGGAGAAACAACTGGCCAAGGGAGTACCGGAATGTTCTGCTGTCTCAGGAAATCTGTCAGAGCACGATTGGCATGTGGAAGGACATTTATCTTGCTGAAGAGGCCCAATGATTTCATCCCTGGTACCCGAGACCTGTGAGGGGCGGTGGGGTAGTCTAGTGGCTAAAGCGTTGGCTCGTCTCGCCGAAGACCCGGGTTCGAATCCCCACATGGGTACAATGAGTGAAGCCCATTTCTGGTGTCCCCCGCCGTGATATTACTGGAATATTGCTAAATGCGGCGTAAAACCAAACTCAGTCAGTCAGTCAGACCTGTGAGATTGCCATTGCCAATGACAAGTTGTGTCCGACCATGAGATGTGATGCTTACCCATACCATAACCCCCCGCCACCAAACTGTCGACGTTAAACAACGCATGCGTCGGCATACCGTTCACCTCGCCGTCTGTACAAACTTGCCCTGCCATTCGCTTCCTGATCACTGGACCCTATCATGTTGTTTTCACCTGTAGGTAGTTTGGAACTGTAGGCAGTTTGGGAATACACCCGCTGTCCAGATGAAATCTCGACTCGTCAGGGAATTAAACAACATCCCAATCTTTCATCCTGTACCTTAAATGCTGTCTACACCGAGCAAAACGTGACGGGGTCTGATGCTCTGCTGCCTCAGTCGGTTCCGTACAGTCCTAGAAGTGATTGGACGTAAACCAGGGACGGTCCGAGCAGTCAACTGGCAGTCTGGAATCGAATTATTAGATGGGTCAGCCGAATGCGGTTGTCTTGCTGACGTGACGTCACGCGTGGACGCCCGGTTGGAGGCAAATCTCTCATGTTTTCGTTCATGTTGAAAACGTCTCCATAGAGATGAGATCGTGTTTTGATGGACACCAAATGTCTGGCCACTTCATTTTGGGCCATTCCTGTCTCCAGCATTCCCACGGCGCGGAGACTCTGATTTTCTGTAAGCCGTGGCATGGCGTACGATGTCATTTACGTATTTTTCAACAACATTCAGAGGCAAGAGAATAATCACCAGTTCTTCAATTTTCAAGTTTCAGGTGTCAAAAAGCATGCAAAAGGTGAGTAAGTATGTTGTGCACAAAGTGCACGTGCAACGCACGATACGTAACAAAACATTTCCTGCAAAGTGATTTGCTACATGTTATTCAGGGTTATTTTTTTTAACTTTTCAAATAACTTTTATTTCATACAATTTTATGTTATGTACACTTACTTTTTTCCGTCAGTATACATCTACGTATCTCTTTATGGCTACCCCAGCCATATTGGTGTTATGCAAGTATATTATACAATCGTGGTTTATTTGTATTAAAACTATACAACAAACCAAATGTGTGGTTACACGGTGTGGACAGTGATATCGTTGTCGTCGTATGTTAATGGTGGAAAGAACAACAGCAATGTTCTATGCTGAGCCTGACATATTTGTATACCCGCTTTAACCGACACCTGGAAAAAACTCCCCTGCCGACAAGGTCGACCTAAAAACACAACGATAAGCCTGTTGTCGATGGGAGGCATGAGAATAGAGATATTCACACTGCAGATGTACTCTTAATGTGATGGACGAAATATGACACGAGGGTGTAATCACGTGAACAGGATTATTTTACTGGCGGACATCGGGCTGGATTCATGTCGTTCAAGGTAGTGTTCATTTGCTGTTGTTATTTGATCGAGGCAATGTATTGCCATTCACGTTTCTGCACCTTAGTATACGAAACTATATCAGTCAAGCGTCAAACGTCACTTGCCCGTTTATGTATCTTCTATATTTTCATATGAATTTATAACCCAATCGACAATCGGATTGACACAGTGACCTAGCGGGCGGCTGGTGTTTGGTAAACAGTCCAAGGGTATCTCTCATATATTATAATGTTTGTTTGCTGTTTGGGGGGACACCTAGGCTATAGGCTTTGAACATCTGCTCAGAATGGGATGAGATTACTGATAACCCTCACCTACAGCTGGAGTTGTACATGTAGTGTACACTGATTCACTGGTACTAATGTAAGGGCTTTGGTCATACACTTGAATCTAGAGATTAGGGCAATATAAGTACACACATTATTTTTATGTTTATCATTATTATCCATGGGGCGTTAAACCATAAATGTGGATGGTGATTTAGCCACGTTTATCGATAACAATGAAATAGCAGATCGCAACCGAGTACGCTGACAGTTTCACGTACCTCTGGGACAATCAATTCTTGATAAGGATTCATGGAAAAATGCTCATATATATCTCCATCCAGTTAGTTGGAAAGGATATTGCACACACTGTTATATCTAGTAGCAACAATGTATTCATTTATGTAGCATTTATTACGTTCACTGGACGATTTACAGTCCAGTTGATGAACAATTATGTGTAAGCGTCGTGGTTTTAAGCAGCCCTTCCTTTTTTGAGAAAAATATTGTAATTTGTGCAAAAATATTTACTGTTTATGGAAAGGATTGTGTTTCCTTTATTGTATTGATTAATGCATATCAATGGAATGCAAGGCAAATGGAAGGCTTCAATCTAATGTTCCCTGTACGCATTTTACGAGTTAACCACCTATTTTATAACGCCGCTCTGATGCGGTTTCACGTTAAACTAACGCTTTCAATGCTCTGTTATCAGTTTACTTTGTCGACACAGCCTGGAAAGATGTGCTGAATAAACAGCACTGCACACACATCCATATCCGACATCAGGAGTTTTCAATGAAATGATTGGACGATTTCCAATCCAAATCTATGATACGCGTCGTGTTTATATACATTTCATTTATCCTTATAGAGAACAAAGACAATAATTAGTACATAGATAAAGTATACATAATCCCTTGTTATCGGGAAGGTAGGTTTAAAGATGGAGGGAAATAGTCATTATTTTGCGGTTTTCTTCATAAACATATATCCATTTATCCATCCATTCAAACATCCATGTACATTATGCACACGCAATCACACACACGTGTGTGAGGGAGGAGGGGAGTCATACATTCATGAATCAAAATATTAATCTAGTTTAAATGCACCTATTATCAGGAAGGTAGGTTTAAAGGTGGATGGAAATTCGTATTGTGTCATTATTTTGATTTCTCCATGCACTCTTAATTGTCCATTCATATATACATTCCTACATTATGTATACATACACGCACACACACACGCATGGTATGTGTGCGGGAGTGGTAGTGTCATGAATGAAAAGTATTAATCTAACATACAACATCTTGTTTAAATACCCCTTTTTTTGTTTCAGCTTTAATCACAATGAATTGCAGTTACAGAGGAGGTTTCCTTGTATGTCTGGGGACAACTACGGCTGCTGTAGCTTTCTATTTGACATGGTTTCAGTCACTGGATGTGTTTGTAGTGGAAGGTTTGATGTCATCAACACCTAACGTGAAGCAAGTATCCCTCTTGGAAGTCTCTCAAAAGCATCCCCTCGTGCTTCATTGGCAGAGTGTGAAGATTACGTCAGCAGGTTCACCAAACGGAACATTAAAACGTATTGTGTGGATGAACGTCCCGCCTTGGTTCACGACTGCAAAATCCTTCGACCACTGTAACGTTCGTTCGTGTGAAATAAGTACCAGCGAGGCACTCATTTCATCAGCTGATGCTGTTATTGTCCATGGTGTGCATTTGCCTGCTTCAAAACACCCAAACAATAACATGGATCAGGTATGGATTATGTATGGATGGGAATCTCCTCTTCACTATTATTCAAACACGATTTTCCGTTCTGATTGGAATGGACGTTTTAACTGGACATTGACGTACCGTTTGGATTCGGATATACCCTTTCCTTACAATAGGATCTTGTATACAGGAGGCACTGTGAATATAAGTGATGTTCTAAGACGAAAAAGCCGATCAATAGCTTGGTTTGTTAGTAACTGTGGTACACCGTCAAAGAGGGAAGTGTATGTTCAAGAACTGCGAAAACATATTGATGTTGACATTTATGGCGCCTGCAGATCTAACAAGAGCTATGACTGCCCGAAAGAACTGTCCCTCGGGTGTATTAGTCTCTTAAACACCACGTATAGGTTTTATCTTTCGTTTGAAAACTCCCTATGTAAAGACTATATCACAGAAAAGTTCTACAACACGTTCATGACTTCAGCTATTCCCATCGTTCGTGGAGGCGCTGACTATGCACGTCTTCTGCCAGAAGGAACCTTCATCAACACGGCATCATTTGACAGTCCCAAGAGTTTGGCGAACTATATCAAATATTTGGAGAGAAATGAGACAGCTATGGGGGATATTCTTGCAAAGAAGCACAAATATGAATACATTCATTCAGAAAGTACGGAGTTTGATTGGAGGTGTCAGTTGTGTGCCAAGTTACATGGTAATATTACAAGAAAGCATTACACAGATATGAAACAGTGGCTTAAGACCGGAAAATGCATAGAACGGCCCAAAGATCTGCCGTAACGTTATGTAATGTAAGAAGCTTGTCACAATCACTTGATTACATGCCGTAAAGTGTTTTCAGTCAGTTCTAGGAATACACTCTGTTCCTATGACAAGAGTGATGACTAAGAGTGATCGTCAGCAGTCACTGTACTACTCTGTTTTCCCTACTGCCTAGCCCTCCCAGAAGTGCTAAGGTTCTGAATGAGGCAAGTCTACACTTCCTCAGGTTCAGGAATCTCCCATCTCACCGATTTTCTTTTTCAATTTAGAAATAATTATTTGGGTCTGTCAAAAACTAAGTGTCAGTCAACATGACCTTACAGATTGTTTGCTATGCGACCCTCACGGCTTGGCTATCTGTCCTTCACATATATCTGCATTGCAGGTGTTTGAAATAAAGAGATATAACTGTTATGTTATTGAAACAGATTTGGCTACTGGTCTGATCAATGAGGGGATAACAATCCACTAAACATTACCAGGTGTGAACACCATGTGAATGGATAAATGCAAGACGGCGGCAGTGCTCTAGTTCTGGTCATGTTGTTGGCGTCGTTTATACACTTTACACAATTTGATTCTTGCCTACTTCTACCTATCTCAAACACACAAAATGTTTCTTGCATGTTTTGTTTCCTGAAGATTGTAATGCCATAATTGCAGATTTTGCGGTGTGTGTGTGCTTGCATGCGTGCGTGCGTGCATGTGTGTGCTTACCAAGCTATACAAGTCAAACAAAATGAATATCGTGAGGCTGGGACATAGCGAACCAATTTCCTTGAGGTTGACAGAAAATATGTGGGAAACCATCGGCAGTGTTTCAGCCATATCTAATCGTGACGTGAACAAATCTGACATTGATAAAGAATAATTATGTATATATTATAAAACCTGTAATCAAAGGTCAGTAAAACAACTAGATTATCACAGATAGAATTTAAACTAGCATGTAAAGTTAAAACAATAGAGCTATTTGGACAAATCCTATTATAAAAATAGATCACTAACAACTGAAGGTAGATCACCATACTAGGGTCCATGTACGGTGCCTTTTCTACCTGCATGGATCCTACATGGATTTACACCATCCCTTCAGCCGCTGGCGATTGTAAGAACATGTGTCATAATTTGAAATCACCAAAATACTACGTTTTAAAAACAATTTATAAAATGATTGAATTTGCTTTGAAAGTTTTGGGATTTATGTAACCTCTCAGGAGGTCATTAGCTATGATGCTACCCTATACCCTATATTATGTCCACTCCCAAGCAAACAACGGTCAGTACGGCTAGTTTTGTTAAAAGGTTCTCTTGTAGACCCTTTGCATGCCAATCAGATGAAACCTGGAAAAACCTGTAAGGAGAATGCTGCCCTCGGTGTGTCGTCCGAGACGGAGATGTTTCGTCAGGTTCCTCGCTCTGAGGCATACGGTTCCGCCACAAATGTTTCTCAATCCTGGAACTGGGGCGGTGGTCTAGCCTAGTGGTTAAAGCGTTCGCTCGTCACACCGAAGGCCCGGGTTCGATTCCCCGCATGAGTACAATGTGTGAAGCCCATTTCTGGTGTTCCCCGCGTGATATTGCTGGAATATTGCTAAAAGCGGCGTAAACCCATACTCACTCAATCCTGGAACTGTCCGAGCTGTTTATGTAGCAGCTACGGATCGATTCCGCAGATTCACCTACGGAATATGGTTGTCTTGTTGACGTGACGTCACACGTGAACGATTTGTCCTGACAAGTCATCAGTGTTGTTCTGCTTTAGTGGTATTTATAATAATTGTTTCCCGGGAATATCAAAATGTCAGCGAACTTCGTTTTGCACCTATCTTGTTTGCAGCAAAAGTGAGGTGAAGTGAAATGAGGTCTAACGTGGTGCTTGAGAATATTGGGCTCATATGACGACGTGCATGCGTGTATATGTGTGTGGCTGCTTGTACTAGCCCAGACATAAGCTGGTTTATAGTGCAAGCTCACTACGATACTATGCCGAAGTTAAGCATGAATACCCCACTCGGACACATTATACTGACTCCGAGCCACCAACAAATACCACATTTTAACCTTTTTTGGTATGACGCTGCCGAGGATCGAACTAGCGATCTTCCGCTCTCCGGGCGGACGCTCTAACCACAACACCACGGAGACACAATGTGTCTGCACCAAACATGCAATGGCGATGATTTCCAACAAGTCATGTTTTGCGTAAACGTTATTTATCACTGAACAAAGGTGTTTTTTATGAGCAAGTAAAAACTAAACAGACATTGTGTGCTGTTCACATATTATAGATAAACAACGGCTGAGTAATATACAAATATTCAATCTGTACGCCATTAATGTACACATATACAAGACTGCCTCCGTGATGTAGTGGTTAGAGCGTCCGCCCGGAGAGCGGAAGGTAGCGGGTCCGATCCCCCACAGCTTCATGCCAAAAGACGTTAAAATATGGTACTTGTTGGTCCCTGCCTGGCGCTCGGCATTAATGGGTACAACAAGGACTGTTCGGCTCGGAGTCAGTATATAGTGTTTGAGTGGGGTATTCATGCTTCAATGCGGCATGGTATCTCAGTGGGCTAGCACTATAAAACTAGCTTCAGTCTGGGCTAGTACAAGCAGCCGCACATACACATACACATACACACGCATGCATGTCGTCAAATGAGCGAAATATTCTCAAACACGACGTTAAACCCAATTTCACGTCACCTCACCCCACACATATACAAGTGTGAATCACGACCTTAACATTGAAGACATTTCTTTATCAATATGCATTGAAGTACATAATACAGTCGCAGAATATATATGTTTTCTAACTATAATTTTAGAGTCGTTACTTTCACGGGGAGTATAGATACCGTTTCAACAACCACTCTCATCCAATATTGTTGTCGTTCCAGACGACGTTCACCCAATTTCAGTAATAAACAGCCTGTGTGATATGTGTTTATCTCGTAAGGGGGCCATTGGCCCATGATACAGATATAGTGGTACACATATTTATTGTATACAGAGAGCTTGAATTGATGGCTAGCAAAAACAAAATGTAATAAATGTATTTATACATGAATAACTGATTTTACAAAATATATGTATTAGAACTTTTATCGAAGAGGGACAGCTTTAAAGAAAATTCGTCTTTTCTTTGCTGCTGAAAATAAGAGAGATTCTTAACATGACCCTTTTTGAGAGAAATAATACTCGCATCTTGTCCGAAGCTGGATATTCCCAGTAATATTCTGGAAGAAGTGTACATCTTAAATTATGATAAAATGGGCACTTTAAACAACAATTGTACTGAGATTCAATGTTTGGGACAATACAGAAAATACATCTTGCCTCTAAATCTGCACTGCAGCATTGCAGCTTAATATCAATACACCTTTCCTTAAACTGAGAGATAAATATAACACTATTTCCCACTCTTTGTTCTAGCCAAACTTTACCAAAACTATATCTGAACGATAATGATTTAACGTGTTAAGCCCAACAAGTCTTGCCATTTTCAGCTCTTCGAGATAATATTATAATATTATATTTCATCCAATGTTGATATCATCCTAGTCGACGTTCACCCGATTTCAGTATATACATACATTTGTATCTGCATGATATACTGCAATATTATGGTTTAGGAAAGGCAGGTTTAGCTGCATGCGCTCATTGAATTCCATCTTCAGCAAGCAAAGGTATTTAACAGGTCCACTTCAACCAGCCTGAATACAAATACAGTGTGTGTTCTGAAACCAGGCCATTAAACTACCCGGTATGTTGAATGTAGTCTGCAAAGTAAAGATACTTCATACACGGGGGTTTGCTTTGTCCTTTTGCTTAACAAAGTGTATAGTTGTGTCACGTATGTCATTACTGTGTTCCCTGAAGCACGGAAAGAGTGTTTGTCAAGGATGGGAGGATACTGCCTTCTATTTGAACCCCACAGGTTGTGTCCCACTGTGAAAACGACAAAACTGGTTTCGTTAATGAGACTCCTATTCGCTTCAGTGGGTTATGAACTGTGCTTGCAGTCGACAATGAGCTACAGCTTTAGGGTTGACTTCTCTGCTGGTATTGACTGTGGAGATATCTCCAATCTGCCTCGTACGCTGGTGGTGTTTCTAGCTTGCTTTATTCATCAGTGTTTTACTGAGGCATCTCGGGGTTCAACCTTCGACAAACAAGACCGCTGACTCATTGGTGAAAAATACTACAGGGAATGTTTAACAACTGCTCCGACACCTAAAGCAATCAGTGTCGATAAGGGATGTCAACAGAACGAATGTAGGAAAGAAGACACAGGAAAAAAGTCACGGGGAAAAAAGTCACTGGAAAAATCACAATACAATAAAATATATCAGGGGGTTGTAAAATTGCAAAAACGCTATTAATTTTACTGATTCTTAATTAAATCAGTTACTTTGTATATTACTTCGATAATGCTTTGCTAATATAGTTGTTATTAGGTGGTTTCTTAAATGTTATAAACGTGCTTTGACCACAATTAACTATAATCGTTTTGTGCGGTGATTGTCTGTTTATTTACATATGAAGAAGACATGAGACTTGGATTCCGATTCTGACTGAGTGTTAGAGCAGTGTTTTGTTAATAAAGTGGCCTTTTTAAATGTTTTCGGAACACTATGTACAAATGTACAAAGAGATCCAGTATGTCATGAATTTAGTAAAATTGGTTATTGTGACTTTTTTCCTGTGACCTTTTTCCTAGCCAACATTGTTATTTGTTTCCTGTGACTTTCTTTCCGATCCCCAACAGAATATGATATATGATTGTGTCGCTTTCAAAACCACGATGTATTTCACCTTGAAATGGACACTTTGCTGTCTAGATATCTACTAGAATCTGACCAATGATTATAACTACAGACAGCTCAGAGAGAATAACAATGTATATAATATATTTTCACATGTTAAATACACTTCATGCTAACACAGAACAATACAATATAAAATCCGACCAGGTAAGTCCTACGGGACACCCAATATGAAATCATAATATAAATCGTAGATCAGAAAAAGATAAATTTAGATATGTACCTATACAATGATTGATGTTGAGTCAAGGAATTCGTTAAACACACGTACAATTCACCCACAGATAGACAGGCACATACAGAAACACACTCACATAAGCCAAATTACTTACACAATCATGCACAGATGCATAGAGAGAGATGATGGTAGGGGTGGAATGGGAGTGTATGTAATGGAAGGGTATACTTATGCATGTAGTGTATGTGATAATGATTGTTATTATACTTTCCCACGAACGTTATCTTCGCCTCTCAAAGCGTGAATCATTTGAGGTGGTTCTTGTAATGTCGTTATTGTTAAGGAAGCTATTTATGAGAACTCACTCACTCACAACGCCCAGATAGATACACCATATATCA